TTTTTCTTTCGGGGTTATACGAGTCATGTGAGGGTATAAATAAAGGGTTTAGGATTTAGGGTTTGTTGTCTACCAGAAGTTCCCGCAAAATGTTTTTTAGTTCTGTCATCTGTAACCTTCAGAACCAGCTGAAATCATGATTGCTAGCCATTCTATCAGGGTACTAGGGAACTTACGGTCTCTACCTGAGCAGCCACAATAGTTTCCTATTGTTCCCATCTAAGCCGTATACGAGCTAATGTCAATATTGGGGGTACCAAGGGACTATAAAGGGTGGACATAGGGGTCCATTTTGTAGTTTAGTGTAGTCCATAATGTGGAAGCCATGTCCGTTAATTGCGTGGGGAAAATTGGTTGTAGCTCATATCTGTATATATATATATATGAATACGTACATAGAAGGATAGAATATACCCAAAACCCTACTCCAAGCAAACAGGCACCTACAGTATTCAATCATTTTGGCCTTTGGCTTTAGGGGGGGCCGTTGTTGCGGTAGCCTTGAAACGAAGAAGTTAAGTTAGCTTGAATAGGCGAGGAGTTCCATCCTTGTATATGCTTTGACTCTATACTTTTACTATCAGTATCAATCGGAAGATGGCTATTAATATTACGATCATGTTCCAAAATCGCAGTGCCCTTTTGAGACGTTTGTACAAATCATTGTAGACGGGTATTTATTGAGATGCTGCGTTTGGCACATCTCCTTTTCGAGGCGTCCTGAATCGGCAGCTGCCCTCGCCACCAAAACCCTACAAACTCTACACCCTAAAACCCTAAATCCTCAAACCCTAAAGCCTCAGACCCCCGAAACCTTAAAGTCCTGAAATCCTCAGTCCTAAGCCCTTCAGGTTACAATGCCCACGAGCTCTTTAAGCAGGCAGGCTTCTGCGGAACATGCTTGCTAGAAATAAAGGTTTAGTCTTTAGGGATACCGACAGTAACAGTGAATGCTACGTAGCCCTAGGGCTCGAAATAGCAAGAAGAAGTTACTGTTAATCCCTCCCCTAATATAAAGAGAGTGGAACGTCACCGCCCCCCCCCCCCCCTATTTTTATTTGTATTTTTTGTTGTTGTAAGACGTTTTAGGTGCAGTTCTTGTGATGAAGATCTGGGGCCATGTCTGTCACGACTTGCCTCCATTCCCTTGACAGCAAGAGTGGGGAGGACTTTCCCTGGCATGTTGCATACACAGAGTGAGGAGGATTCTTCTGGTACCTTTCTGAACATAAACCCCCCACCCCCTGATGTTAAATACTCCCATTATGTGGTATGCTATATTCAATATTAGGGTGGGGGGGTGGGGGGCTTAATATTAGGGGGAGGGGATAAACCCTAAACCGTAGGCTTGGGGACCCGAAGTCGCTGATATTCATAGACTTGCTCCCAATGCAGCTAATACTTGCGGGGGTTTCGCAAAATTAGGTGTACTTTTTGGGGGTATATGGGGTTATATAGGGTTTAGGGTTTAGGGTTTTCCAAAATTAGTGGTACTTTTTTGGGCGAGTCCCCATTATAAGGACTGTAGTATTTTGCGGCCTAGATGGGGGTCGCCCTATTTAGGGAAGCTCCCATTTTTAGACTTGAAGCCATAGGGTCACAGTAACTAGTAACATGTTTGATTGGTGTTCGCTGCTGTCGCGTCGGCAGTTGCGGAATGCGCTGATGTAGATGCTGAAGGGTGTAGGGCTTAGGGATTTTGAGTTTAGGGGTTGAAGGTTCAGTGATTCAGGGATGATGGAGAACCAAATGGGAAAGAGAATGGCACATGAAATGGAAGCTAGGCTTGCATTTCGGCTTTAAGGATAATGATAACCCGAAACCGGAAAGTATGTGAAATAATTGCCTTTTGTTTTTTGTGTTTTGGCTATTATTTTACGTACCCAGGCAGTTCTTGGTCCGAGTTCCCCTGCAGAATTTGCGTATAGGGCACCTCGAAGCAACCTGACAATGATATTGGTAAATTAGGGATACGGCACCACATTAGCTATAGTCTAAATTCCTTAAATGGGGTTATATAGGGATTTATAAAAGGGTCTATTATAGCGGTTATTAAGGGGGATACTAGGAGTTTAGATTATGGTTTAGATATGGCAGGCTGTAGTTTCATAGAAATTCAAAGGATACCCTCATAATCCCCGAGAAGCATTTTCTTTTCCCTCAAGCCAACATGGAAGCCTTTATACCGCTTTAAGCTGGACACTTAGGTGTTCAGGGCAATTTTGGGGAAACCATAAACCCTAAACCCTAAGGGATATTCAGGGCCCACCCCATAGGATGGTTACCAAGTGGGTACCCCCATGCAAGGCTCATATAAGGTTTGTGTGCAGGCAGGGTTTAGGGGTTTTTAGGGTTTAGGGTAAGGGGGCTATTCTTACAGGTACCCGCCTCATAACGACCCACCTATACACCAACAGCTAAACCCTTAGTTTCCTAAATAGTGTGGTTCATTTCTTTTCCATTCCTACCCTAAACCCTAACCCCCTAAAAAGGTTGTTCCACCTTCTTTTCTACTCCTCTATTCCCCTTTGCCAGCGCCTAAAACTCTAAACCCTATCTGTAAACCCTAAAATGTTGTTGCTAACAGTAGCTCGGGACCCAAAACTCCAAGCGCTAAACCCTGAAACCTTAAACTCTAAACCCTGAACCCTAAACCTTAAACTCTAAACCTCTAACTCTAAACCCCGAACTCTAAACCCTAAACCTCTGTTGCTAACGCCAGGTGGACGTGAATAACGATGGCAACTTGGCCTCTCTGGCTGTGGGCTTTTCGTGGCAGATTAGCGAAGAAGCCTAGATAAGGGGTTAGGGTTGTAGGGTTTAGGGCTGTAAGGTTTAAGGTTTTAGGTCCAGGGGTTTAGGGTTTTAAGCAGGGGTTTTTGGTCGAGGGTTTTGGGCTTTTAAAAAGGGGTTTAGACCATAAAGCCCCTGCTAACAGGAGAGAAGAGACTGAATTGCTGTTAAGGAACTTAAATTAAGTTACCATAATGGGTATTATATATATATATGAGGGTTCCCCTACAGTAACTTAATTCAGTTCCTAAAACACCCTTTTTCCCCAAGTTTCCATTTCATTTCCATTTAAATCTCCATTATATATATAAGGGAATAATATAGCAATTTAATCTCTACCCGTTATAGCAACTTAGATTAAATTCCTTAACAGAGAAGCCAATCAGTGTTTAAGCAACCTTATGAATCCTGCCTTTTGAGTTCCTCAAAGACACCCCCCCCCCTCCCGGTTTAGGATTTAAGTGGTTAGGGTTCAATTTCAACTTTTCTCAAATTCTATTGAAATTCAGGACCATTTAGTTGGTTGGAGTCCCTGTTTTCTGGCTCTGGGATTTCCAGTTCAGAGCATTCCAGTATTCCACTTCTGCCTTATAAGCCTTTCGTCCTGGACAAGAATAAGCCCTAAACCTTCTCTAAACCCTAAACCCTAGGAACCCTGGGAATCATTGAACTACAGGCATTGAGCTTCTTTACAATAAGAACCCCTACCTCAACATTTAAATGCCTGGGTTTACATGGTTAGGGTTTAGGGTTTAGGGTTTAGGGTTTAGGGTTACATGCTTCCTAGTAAAGTTTGCGCTACTCCAAACCACTCCAATAATCGCTACCCGGCTTTAGGGATCATGGGTTCAGGGTTTGGGGCGAAATGGAAGATGAAATTGAAACTGGGCGTATCAAGGGGGATATACCGGAACCCCAAAAGTATGTAGAACAATTGCCTTTTGGGCTGTTTTTAGAGGTTTTGGGTCTGTTATTTTGCCTACTTTTCGGGCCCAGGTAAGCATGATTGGCCGTGTTGTGATCCTAAATTGTGCGTAGAACAGTGTACCTCAAGCAAATTAGTGTTGCTGATGACTCAGACCCCTACAATAGGGAGTGTAGTTCACAGACCCTAAACCCTCAAAGCTAAACCCTAAACTGCATATGAGCAAAAGCCTAAACTCCTAGCATCCCCCTTAATAACCCCTCTGATAGTCCCCCATATAATCCCCCTTGAAGGAGTTTAGACTCGAGCTCATGTAGCTGATGTGTGTACACATCTATCACCCTAAACCCTAAACCCTAAATTCACTGGGTTTGGGCTTAGGGGCAGTCTAGGGTTTAGGGCTTCAGGTTTAGGAGTTATTCCTGAAATTTGAAGCCTGGCATATGTGCCCAAAAACAGAGAGCAGGGGGATCCCCATTCAGGGGGATTATTTACTGGGGTTCGTAGCGAATAGGGGAGTGTAGTTTATGGGGATTATACAGGTAGCATATTCCCTCACGGCCTGCTCACAGCTAGAAACATTTTCTCAAGACATTCTTCGCGAAATCCCATATCACTGATTCGTACAAGCTCACTCTGAGACAACATGTACGTTTTCCCATATCATTGATTCGTACAGGCTCACTCTGAGACAACATGTACGTTTTCGTGCTGCAAGCTTGTTGTTGCTAATTATATTAGACTTCTAGGGCTTTAGGATTGGGGGGTTTAGGGTTCAGGCGAGGAGTGCCTCCACGCCAGCCATTGTTTAAAGGCCCCTTCGTCAGTCGGGCAAGCAGAAGACGGTTTAGCCACGGACGTGTGGGGTAATGTGGACCCCTGGCGACAAGAGTTTAGGGTCTGGTTTTACTTGGGGGTCGGAGGCGCCCTCGCGGACTCCCTTCCTGGGTCAGTATTCAGTACAATTCGTGAATTGCATAACACTGTGTAGCTCGACAAAACTCAAAGCTATGACTCTTAATACCATCTCGATACGGAATCATGTTCAAGGATGGGACTCAGTCGTTTCCCCAGCAACCCTTCATACACTACCCTCACCGCCTTAGTTACGCTGACTTCGGGCTAAACTAGGGCTATGCACAGGAAATCCAAAATGGGGTAGTATGTGGGGCTTCGCTGATAAAGGAAGACATAACGCTTGCTTCAACCAGGTTGCAAGTTTAGGGTTCGGGGGTAGCAAGCTGTTCGAAGTCCACAAGTACCGGGCTCCAGATTCTTTGAGGTGACGAGTGCAGATGGGTCCACCAGGGCCGTAGCAGGCATCTACTTGTTCAAGGCTGACCGCTGCCAGAAATGCCTCTTCTATGCCCCGGCGGTGCTGTTGGATGCTGTCTTTGAGGGTGCAGAAATGCCTCGCAAGCTCGCCGGGCGCATGGTGGTGGAGCTCGCCTACCAGCATACAGACATTGACAAGAAAGGAAAGGCTACAGACCAGACTGTCGTCAGCCGGGCAGTGGTCACCGCTCTGCATCTCCAGCTGGTTCAACCGTCTCACTTGCCGCTGGGCACCAAGCTCTTGCAGTGGGATCCTCTGCTGGAGGCTGTCCCCAGGACGTCCGCTCCCAAAGGGATTGCGGTGGAGCCCTCGAGGACCGAAGCTGGAGCCAATACCTCTAGTGAATCCTCTGCTGAGTCTTCAAGCGACACCACGAGTAAGGACGATAGCTGTCATGCGCAAGCTTGTCCATTCAACCCGTAATTCTCCCCCTCCTGAAGCTGCACTTGTGAAAGCTAGCACCCTACCTGGAGGGTAAGGGGGAATTTGGAAGTAGATTAAGAAGGGACATGGCTTGGCTTTCAGGGGTCGCATGATTACCCTAACTTGTATAAGTATGTTTTGCTAAGTCCTCCCGATCCTTCAAGTGCGTGATTGTCTTAACGGCCGAGGCAGCATTGACCAAGATGAGTTTACAGCCGCTTTGCCGCAATACGCCAAATCCTTTTGCTTCGATTCCCCTACACCCGAGCCCCAAAAGGTGAACCCTAGGATTAACGGTAAGCCTCCAAGGAACCTAGAGCCCCAAATAGTGAAACGGCTTTGGGTTTAGGGTTTAAGCTTCAGGGTTAACGTTGAGGGGTTAGGGGAACCCAGCAATATGCGGCTTATCAATTCCCAAACGGGGCGCGATATCAGGTTAGTGGTGTTCCCGCGGTTTAGGGTTTAGGTAGGATCTTGATGTTGCTGTTGTGTTCTCCTGCCTCCTGTGTGGCCTAAATGAGGGTAGGGTTTTGGGTATGGTACGCAAACGAAACCTAGACCCTGACTTCTCAGATCGCATCCCCCTCAAATGAGAGTTACTCGATTCAATGTTGGGCATCTTTCATAGGATGTCAATGAGGACCCTGGCAAACACGGAACCCCCAGAATAAAATAGGAACATAAGGGAACATATTTGCTGGTTCCTTGTATTTCTATTATGTTCCAAGTACTCTTGGGGCTCCCACCCTAGACCCCAGTACAGTCCTGTGACTCTATATGGTAGTTTCCCAAAATGAGGGACCCCAATACGGATCCCAAAAGATTAAACCCTAAACCCCAAACCCCCCAAAGGTGCCCCTAGTTTTGGGAAACCCCTATACGTTCACGAAGCAGGGATCCCCCCAAGTTCCCTGTCTAATCCCCAAGAGTTTTCAGGGTTCCTGCGGGTCTAGGGTTTCTTGTCAATTCTTCGCCCTTAGGGTTTAGGTTTGAGAGTTGTTTAACCTCTTAACCCTAAATCCCCTTAAACCTAAACCCTTCGTGTAATCCCCATGCGTCCTTAGGGTGTCTCGTAGCCCCCTCCCCTCCATTTTGAGACGGGTCAAGCGTCAGGAATGCTTCAAACACTTGGCGTCACTGCCGCCGAAAGCGCCTGAGAAGGCCAAGACTTTGAGGGTGGGTACCTTACGCGCGCGAGGAGCCTGGGAATAGGGCTTAAAAGGGTTTAGGGTTTAGGGAGGTTGTATGTGCTCCCCTTGGGAACTGTTTGGATGTTGTTTTGAGAGACGCCCAGGTATGCCAAAGGTACGGCGCTGGTGGACAAGATCCTGCATCTTCTATGAGCATGTGAGTTATAGTCTAAACTCCTAGTGTCCCCCTTGGTAACCCCTATGATAGTTTCCTATATAACCCCCCTTTATGGAGCTTCAATTATAGTACATGAAACCAGAGATTTTGCACGCTCAACCGTCCAGATTTAGAGGGGTCTAGGGTTCAGGGCCTAGGGTACCAGGATCTACGCAGCAAGCGCACCATCATGCCACGATTTTATGGAGGATTGTATTACCATCAGCTGTGCGTGGCGCTTTTCTGTGACTCTACCGGAGCGACATCTAAGCCACAACCATTCATCTCAACAGGGCTTCCTGCAGTTTCATGCTAGTTCGGTTCATGGTTTGGGCGTCTAGGGTTTAGGGCTAATATCTAACTGATTGAATTTAGGGCCAAGGGGATTAGTAAGTAGGGGATAGAAAGCATTATGTAGGCCCCTTAAGTGCTGGAATATGGGGTGTATGGGGTTCTTATTATGATATTGGGCAATTCCATATTCAATCTACTTAATGTAGGGAGGACAATACAGCAAAAACAAAAATTTCGTCCAGGCTCTCCCATATCTAAACCCTAAACCCTATGAACCCTTAACCTTGTTCGTCCAGGTTCTCCCATATCTCGAAGGTCAGCTCCACTCCAGGCAGGGCCCGGTAGGGCAGCGAGTGGCTACCGAAGAACCTCTCCACCAGGCTCACGTGGTTTAGGGTTGAGGGTTCAAGGTTATTAGTAGGGAATAAGGGAACATGTAGGGCTTGGAGTTATCAGGGCACAAGGGAACATGCGATATGGGGTTCTATAGGCGTTATATCCGCTTATTCCCTATTAAGAGCCACTAAGCTTGTAGGGCTTAGGGGTTTCCGGACCTGCTAAAGAAGTTCCCTTTTAGTGACTATAACACAAGATCTGCAACAAACAAAAAGAACAAGTGCCAGGACCTTGGTATAAGCCTGCAAGTTCATGCAGTGATACAGGGAAGGTGATGTTGCGAACGCTACTGCCACCCGAATCATTCTACGACTAGACAAAGTGGGCTATGCAGGCATCAAAGTGGGTGGCCGCTGGAAGTACAGGTGATTCTATACTTCAGTGTCGCTTGATCTTTCTCTTTCTGACCAGTGTGGTTTAAAACCAGGTTCAGATGATGGTCAGCTTAGGGGATGCTCCAAACAACAGTCGAACAACGAAGGTCGGTATCCGTGCAAAAACCCGGCTTTGAAGAGACACGGCAAGCTATGCCTCTATGCATGAACTTGTCAAGCCCTTTCGCTGTGGCTGGTCGGCGTTGTGACAAGGAAGCCTTTGCAGGATTTCGTATACTACTAACTAAGCAAACACTTTTCAACATGACCACGAAAGTTGAATTCAGTCATGATGCCGATTCAATACTAAACAGGTGTGTTGCGGGGTATGGTTGTAAAGTAGCCAGCTCTTGTTTCCAGGCATGATGCTGGGGTGCGCTCAGGGCAGTGTATGAGGGTATAGTCCCCCTTAACTAGATAGAATTTGGCTAGGGTAAATTTAACAAGATCCCCATATACCCCAGATTCTATCTACTTAAGGTGGACCATATTTTGTGAAACAGAACACACTTTTGCAATTAGATGTTAGCTGACCCTCCACCCCTGAACACTTACAGAATGGGGAAATGTTAGCCGAAGGGCCAGATGCCCTCGTCCACGGAGCGGGGGAGTGGCGGACCCTCGACATCTGCTGAGCCTTCCGTGCTTGGGCGCCGGGTTATACAGGGTTCTACAGGGAATAGGTTTAGGATTTAAGGTTGAGGGGGGTTGAAGGTGTTCAGGATATCAGGGCTCAGGGCAGCAAACATCCGCACCAAACACCAAAAGTCGTAAGTATCACCAAGTTTGACTTCCTTCCCAGGCCTCCGAAATTGTTTCTGACCCTGCTTTCGGCAATATCGAAAAGTTGAAATCTGAACTAGAACACCAGCCTGATGTTGGGTCGCCCTTTCACTGCTTGTGTTTTTCTTAACGTTGAATTAGGCCTCTTATCTTTAGACTACACCGTCTGCAGGATACCGTATGGCTTTAGCATTAGCTCGCAAGAGCTTGAGCTGTTGAGGCTCAGGACTTGCCGATACCTGCCATGGATTATCAGCAGTCCGCCGAAGAGCTATCCCGAATACAAACTCTTTTCACCGCCGGGGCACTGCAATGACAAATTCAAGCCCTGAGCGAGTATGCGGAGCGAACACAAGAAGCTAAAACCTCTCCGATGTCTCAAAAATCAGGGTCTGGGATGTCAAGTGTTTGGGGCCTGTTGATTTCCCATGACAACGGATTCGGATGGAGTCGCTTACTAAGCAGCTGGGCCAGGCGCATGGGAGGTTCTTGGCCTTCGAAACAAGATTCCGAGGGCATCTTCAGCATCTGTTAAGATGACTGCCCTTACGCCACATGGGACTTTCGGAAGTGGATCTTACCACAGTTCTGGTTGAGAAGCCCCTTTACAGGGAGCACCAACCATCCAAAAGATATATCCACAACGAAGCCTTCTGCGTAGGCCCCACTTGTAAAAGACATGTCCACTGGTCTGCCCTTCGGAAAGACAACCTCGTTTCAACTTATCTCGTGCTTGCGTATAAGAAGCTGAAACATAGCAGGCCTTATGGCGTGATTGGTTGTGGGTTCATCTTCTCCTGGTTTAACTAGGACTAAAACAAACCACATCTCAAGATGAGCCCGAGAAACAAAAAGGAAAAGCACAAACCACGTAGCCGCCCAACAGCACAAAATCCCCGTTTATGTCCAACATAGCTCCCAGGCAGCTGTGTGACATCTAGCCAGTCTATGCGCCTTTGAAGACAGGCGAGATGAAGCCAAAGTTCTTGGGACCATTGAAGACTTTCCTTTGCGGGAGGATTGAGGGTTCCAGGCTTAATGTTTTTCAGGGCTCACTTGGGAGTTTAAGATCACAGTTCTTCCCAGAAAAAGTCTAGGAGGTATATCTGCTTTGAGGGAAGCTATCACACTGTAGAATACAGTTTTGGGAGTAGATGGGGAATGCCCAGTTTGCAGCTTAAGTCTGTACCGCAACACAAACCCCTTCACAATCTTGCGGCGCCCGTAAAACATTGCAAAATCTCAACCATGGTAAACACAAACATTCACACAGAGACACTCACAACCAACTTGCAGACAAGCATGCGAAATGCTTGATCAGGCTTCAAACACGCATACAAAACACCCACCCCCCTGCGCTTAAAGTAAACGACTCTGCAAGGAGCTTGGGTACGTACTGTATGCGTTTCAGGTCATCACATCCTGAAAGGTCGAACACCTGAAAGCGCCCAACCTTCCTACTCAGGCTGATGAGCCTTGCGCCGTGTACCCTAGAGACCCTCAAGCTCAGAGCCTGAAACTTACTTCCTGAACACTGAACTGTGCAATCAGAAGCCCCAAAAAACTGCAGCCAATGAGCAAGAGGCCGCGGCCGTATGTCACAAATGCCTCCATTCAGGTCTTTCAGAATACTTCGAGGTTCTTGGGTGG